TAGTTTTGATGCAAAAACGCATGATCGCACCGGCTCGCCTGGTGCGTTCCAGCCTTTGTTTTTTTGGGGAGGGGAGGGGAGAGGGATCGGTTAACTCGAGAAACTGGGAGGCTGAAATTTTGGGAAAATATTCCCCGTCCAAATACAATTTGAAGGTTTGAAATTCAGCCCCCATGTACGTTTGATTCTCGTGTACATTAAATTTTTGGCGGGGAAATTTCTGATTGAACAGCTGGGTCATTTTCAAAAACGACCTGGAAATTGTTTATTTCCGTTTGTGCAAAATTTACGATGATTTACGATATTGAGCGCACAAGGCAGGTGTGAAGGAACAAAGCACTCATGCAGTTAACCTAATTACTTCAAGTTCGATGTAAGAACGCATGATCGCACCGGCTAGCCTGGTGCGTTTCAGCCTGGGTCTTTCCGTTTGTAACGAACAAGTGCAAATCTACACAGACTCTTGTTTCAACAATCTGCTGCTTGGAGCTGAGATATGTTTCATTGCATATTGCGTTAAAAAGTGTTATTTTGAGGATGGAGATTGCTAGTGTCTGGGTTGTGTGCGGTGGTGCGTATGTGGGGTGGTGGTACTTGTTCTGTTGGTAGTGGTATCAGTTAGATTTCGTTTGGATTTGATTGAGTTTAACCTTTTTTTTCACTTTTTCTACTAACAAATACGTGAATGATAGAGAATTTCCACGCATCCCATTGGACTGACCTCAAATTAGAGGCTATTTGAAACGAACGTCAGGATCGCCGGCGCACTGACCACTGGTCAGGTTGTTTGGAGAAGTTGCCAGTTGCATAGGTATAGGGTCGGGGTGCAGATTAATTCCAACTGTGACGAAATATGCATCTGTTACGGATGTTCGTTCGTTCTGGCGCACTGAACGTAGCTGTTCTTCTCACGCTTGTGCATGAATGGTTTAGCAGAGCACGGGCATATCCATGGGACCCAAAAATCGTGCACCGCAGGTCTCTATGTGAGGGGCATTTTGAGGGATATTTTAACGAAACTTACATTCTGTTTCACTTATGTTAACAATGCGTTCTTGGAACTGTTGAAGGGAATGCCATTTGAGGAAGCGAACGTCGAGAATCGGCCGGTCGGACGGCGAAACGGCGCACTGGGCGCTGCGATGAACTCGAAACAGCGCGTTGGAAACGGTATGTGTGCACATGTGCAGTAATCCGTCCATTAAAACGCAAGAAATGTATAGCAACCTCAAAAGTGGGTGGGTTTCCCAACTGTGCCCGAAAAAATTAAGTTCGGCGGGGAAATAAACTTCTGCTTAAGCGATCTCTGTTTGAATAAAACTTCGGTTTTAACGATCTCTGTGTCTTGGGGGGATGTCGTATATACATGGAGCAGGTGGTGGGTCCCACCTTGGATGGTATGCAATTTAGGATCAAGAAGAACGTAGCTGCACTTCGCCTGTAGTCAAACATATCTTTAACGTGAGATAGAGTACCTCTTGCCAATATGCGTTTTTGCTATGCAGCGCTATAGCAGCGCTATAACGCTGCTACAGCCAGCAAAAACGCGTATTGTCGAGAGGCTGTGTGTGTGTGTGTGTGTGTGTGTTCGCAATGCGAGTGCATTTTGTCACCC